GCATGCAAGGCAAGCACTCTACCACTGAGCCACCTTCCCAGCCCTTGTACTTTTTTTTAAACCTCATATCAATATATATATTTTTTGGTTGGTAGTGGGGTCTGAACTCTGGGCCTGGGCGCTGTCCCTCAGCTCTTCAGCTCAAGGCTAGCACTCTACCACTTGAGCCACAGCACCACTTCTGGCTTTTTTCTGCTTATGTGGTGCTGAGGAATCAAACCCAGTGTCTCATGCATGAAGGCAAGCACTCTACCACTCTACCCAACCCCACCAATCCTCTTAAAAAGCAGTGGATTTATCTCTGTGGTCTAAACTGCTTCCAAACCTGTGTGTGTCCATGTCATTGCAGACTTGCCACTTCTACACATCTGTCCAGGAATTTATTCTCAAGCTCAGCAGGCAGTCCCATGGTGGGGGGACTACTTGAGGCTAGGGAGTGTTTCTTCTGGCTCTCCCATCCTCCTCCACCACACAGCAATATACTGATGCTGAGTTGACATTCCAAATACAATCTGGGCAAGGGAGGGGCAGAAGATTAAGAGGCCTTGTGGAAATCAGAATATCTTATGCCTATGTGAGCTCCCTTTCTTTTTCTATTGTCTTAGTGAGACTTGATTTCTCACTATGAGAGAAATCATGTTTGAGGAGAGGCAGTTTTTTTTTTAAAGTTTTTATTATTTTTAAGTAGCTGTATAAAGGGTGGTGATGCCAATATTCAGGTTTGATCTCAGGGCCTGAGTACTGACCCTGAGCTTTTGTGCTCAGGGGTAGCATTCTACCACTTGAGCCACAGCTCCACTTCCAGCTTTTTCGTGGTTAACTGGAGATAAGTCTCATGGACTTAGCTATCCAGGCCATGATCCTTAGAGCTCAGCCTCCTGAGTAGATAGGATTATAGGGCCAAAGTGAGCCAATGGTGTCTGGCTTAGTATTTTATTTTTATAAAGAATAAATTCGTGTAACTATGTATGAAGACAGCACAAAGGACCTCAATGAAAGCTGTAGATCAGTAAGGGGTTGGGGGAGGTGGGGAAGAGAAAGCAACAGAAAGGGTTATTGTGCACAAAATATATGCACCTCTAAAATACCACAGTACGTGAAATACCACAGTAAAATCTCTTGGTACAATTAATACACATTTTAAAAAAAATCAGGGGGGCTGGGAAGGTGGCTCAGTGGTAGAGTGCTTGCCTCGCATGTATGAGGCCCTGGGTTCAATGCTTTAGCACCACATAAACAGAAAAAGCCAGAAGTGGTGCTGTGGGTCAAGTGGTCGAGCGTTTGTCTTGAGCTGAAGAGCTGAGGGGCAGCGCTCAGGCCCAGAGTTCAGGCCCCACGAGCGACAAAAATAAAAAAATCAGGGAAGTAAGACAGGCTCCTTAGGAAGGGGCCTCAGCAAGGTGGGAGAGCTAAGAGAGTGAATGACGAGGAATATAGTTAGTCCATGTTGTTTCTTAGCATCAATGAAAACAGAACAAAGAAACCATGGAGGAGAATGATAGAAGGGGTGAAACTGACCAAAGATGCACTGTTTGTATTAACTAATTTGTTGAACTGAACTAAAAATAAAAATAAGTAGCTTATGGGAAAAAAAAAAGAAATTTGCTGAAATTGTTTTGACAGAGAGAGAGATGGGGAACTTGGTAAAGGGAGGGATCCAGATACAACATACACATGTGTGGAGGTGTCATAATGAATTACAACTAATACATGCTAATAAAAGAAAGCTGACTAGCACAGGTGCCTGCTCATAGGCTGCCAACAGGCAGCCTCAGTAAGCCAGCCATGACTCTTCCATGAGCCTGCTGGTGATGTGGTCACTGGCACAGGATAATGTGATCAGAACAGAGGCCTCATTGTCCTTTATGGCCTAATCTAAGAAGTGACGTTAAGTGAAGCAGTCAATTAAAATAACCACCACCCTGAATTACTTAGATTGGTCACAAGGTGAGTCTGACAACAGAGCCACTCTCAGGAACTCGCATGCTTTCATTCTTGAATGAGAGCAAAAGGTGGATTCAGAGCTGCCTGTAATCCTAGCTACTTAGGAGGCTAGATCTGAGGATCACAGTTTGAAGCCAATCCAAGCAGGAAAAGTCCATAAGACTCTTATCTCCAGTGAAATACACAGCTGGAAGTGGCATTGTGCCTCAAGTGGTAGAGGACTAGCCCTGAGCAAGTGCCCAGGCTGCGTTCAAGGACCAGCAAAAAGAAAAGAAAAGAAAAAATAACAAGGTAATTTCAGTGACTGGCACAGAATATCTATTGTTCTGAGTCATCATGGCTGAACAATGGATACTGCTCTTGTAGACTAAGAAGAAAAGGAGCCACAGCTGGGAGGGAACCAAAGCAGAATGCCAGTGAGGAACTATGGTGCCCCAAAATGGGGAAGTGGAGGCTAGGGCAAGGATGCACTGTGGATGAAGCCAGAGGCACCCTGAGCCTTGAGGAAACAGCACCAGCCCCTGCGTGTTCCAGGACACAGACGGTGCTCATCACTGTATTAGCACAGAGCAGGGGGCAGCATGACAGTCACACCAGGGCCAAGGCCAGTTCTTGAGGGAGAACTTTTATAGGTGGGGTGCTGCCAAGTCCCCATCCCGCAGTTACTCATGGGAAACCCGTTCCAAAGCCACATAGAAACTGTTCTTGTCATCTAAGCAATGCCAGCCAATGGGTCCAATCTCACAGTCTGCGCAAACCAAAAACTTGATGTTGCCCACATCCTTGGTGAAGCCCACGTTCTCAAAGGTGAACATGTCGGTAACCAGCCAGTGCTCCTGCAGGAGATCACCGGCAGGGTCAGGATCGCTGCCATCAGTCAGAGCTGGCTTCTTCCTCATGGAGGGAAGGAAAAGCTGTAGAGGAAGAGATCACAGGAACATCAAAGCTAAGCCAGCCTGCACACCTGATCATCTCCTTCTAGGGACACTTCACATTGTTCCCTGGCAGATTTCTGCAACAGGAAAAAAGAAAGAGTGTCCATCTCAGTGGGATGCCCAAATAATTTGAATCCATAAAGCCCTCTGTGTATTTTTCTGTATTTATTTTTGTGATGGTACTGAAGCTTTAATTCAGGGTCTGGAGACCTGTCCCTTAGTTCTTTTAAATCAAGGCTAGCACTCTACCAGTTAAGCCACAGCTCAAGTTTGGATGAAAAGAGCATTCAAACCCAATATGGTGGTGCATATTATGTATGTATGCTCGTTCGGAGTCTAACCCAGAAGAACACAAGTTGGAAGCCAGCCGAGGCTATACAGAAAAACCATGTCTTAAAAAAAAACAAAAAAAAAAAAACAGAGCTGGGAGTGTAGCTCATTGGTGGAACCCTTGCCTAGCATGTGCCATGTCATGGGCTCAGTCCCCTGTATTAGAAAAAAAAAGGAAAAGGGCATGCAACTTGTGCTATTTAATTCTGGGGACCTAGGGTCACTGCACTAGAATCCGGCTATTCTAAGCAGGGCGTAGGGGGCTCACACCTACTGAGGAGACTGAGATGTGGGGATTGCTGTTCAAAGCCTCCAGGCAGTGAAGTCCATAGGGCGCATCCCCAATTAACCAGCAAGAAGCCGGAAGTGGAAATGGAGCTCAAGTGGTGGAACACTTGTCTTCAACTAAAATGCTCAGGGACAGCGCCCAGCCTCCTGAAGGTTGGCTACACAGAACTCCAGGAAGCATCGGGCTGGGGTGCACACACCTTCCACGAGCCGGCGGAAGCCCTCTGGGCAGAGGCACGCGCAGCGCGCTCGAGAAGCTAGGGCTGTGCTCCGGGCTCTAGGACTGCCCGGTGCAAAGCCGCGGAGCAGGGCCTCAGCGGGAAAGGTTCCAGCGCCCAGGGTCAGCAGCCCGGGCCACCACCCATCCCACCCGGCCAGCCCGGGGCTGGGGGGTGGGGCCTCTGCGAGCGCGGCCCACGGGGCGCGGCCTCGCGCGAGGGGGCGGGGCTTAGGGAGGGCGCGGTCTCCGGAAACCCAGGAGCCGGGGCTCAGGTCGGCATTGCTCCGGCGAGCCCCGGCTCCTTTGGGAGGAGTTAGCGCCCTCGCGGCTGTCCCTCCTACCTGCCGGCGGGAGAAGAGCGCGGTCCCTGGCTGCAGCACCCGGGAGCCACATCGCTGGCACAGCACCGCCTTCCGGTTTCGGCCGTCAGCTGAGACGAGGTCGTTCGGCTGCTCCGCGGGTTCCATCGCTACCACCGCATCCGATCAGTCGGGCTGCGCACGCGCGGTCTCTGCAGTTCGCTCCTTACTGCGCACGCGCGGCGAGGGGGGCGGGGCTGAGGCCGCGCCGCTTTCCTAGCTCTGCCTGCGCCGGACTCTGCTGCGCAAGCGCGCTCATTCATTTACACTCCCACCTCACCTCCCACCCTCTTCTCCCCCCCCCCTTCTCAGCAGAAGACTTTGTTCCTCAATTCTCTGGGGAAACTGAGTCACAGTAAACCTTGTGAGCTTCCATCTCCCCCCCCCCCCCCCCCCCCCCCCCCCCCCCCCCCCAGCCCGTAGACGGCTTTGTGACAGCGGCACTTCCTGGGACCAGAGACAGATCCTTTTTCTGGTCGACAGGCTTCCCCTAACACTCAGGTCTAGACAAATGAGTCACTTAAGGATGTCCTTACCCTTTCGTTTTCTGATTCAGTGGTCTTGTAAATGGATGAGGACAATACTGGGGTAATGTGGAGTTGGAGAGATCTAGGGTGGACTTCCCCTCAGCAAGACTTAGCCACAACAGCTTCGTCTATAGAAAACAATTTAGGGTGCTGTGCACCTTTCGAAAGTAGGGAAAAGATGCGTAGATTTGCTAATCTGTTCCAATCATAGTAACCATTTACTGTGTAGCGGAGTATTCCAGTTCTTTGGGGGAACCTGTGAAATAATTTCCCTTACATTAGTTTGCACTCACCACTGGAAGGCAAAGATTGAGAGGTTACTTTCCACCGGCCATATATATATCCAGGTGCAGCACGAAAGCTGCTGCTCCTAATTGTAATTGGTCTGCATCACCAGCTTAGTAGGCTGTAGGGGGAACAGAGTGACCATATGAAGGTCTCCACCCAACATCCTAGTATTTCATAAGTTACTATGCTACACTCTGAGGATATAGTGACAGGCACCTTGTAGATGAGAATACAGCCTAAACAGGGAGTCCCAAACCCCCCAGCCTGTGATACAATCATCACAGGAACAAAGCTGTAAATGGAAGCACAGAAGGAGTAATTCTGACTGGGTGTGGGGGGAGGTGGTGTTTAAAGCTTTGTCTAAGTAATATTTTAATTAGGCATTAAGAAGTGACTGCCAGCCAGGCACTGGAGGTTCACACCTGTAATCCTAGCTACTCAGGAGGCTGACAGCAGAGGATCTCAGTTCTAAGCCAGCCCTGGGCAGGGAAGTCCATGAGACTCTATCTCCAATATACCACCAGAAAACCAGAAGTGGCACTATGGCTCAAGGATGTAGAGTACTAGCCTTGAGTGAAAAAGCTCAGGGACAATGCCCAGGCCCAGAGTTCAAGCCCCACAACTGACCAAAAAAAAAAAAAAAGGGGGGGGTAGAGTGGGACCAGATCATCATTGGTTTAGAATTTGAACTTTATAATACAGGCAAATGAGACTCCACAAAAGTTGAACATAAAAAGCTCGAGCTGGGAAGGTGGCTCAGTGGTAGAGCACTTGCCTTGAATGCATGAGGTCCTGGGTTCGATTCCTCAGCACCACATAAGCAAAAAGAAAAAAGCCAGAAGTGGTGCTGTGGGTCAAGTGGTAGAGCGCTAGCCTTGAGCTGAAGAGCTGAGGGACAGCGCCCAGGCCCAGAGTTCAGGCCCCACGACCAGATCCAAAAAACAACAAAAAACTTGAGCATCAATAATCTGCTGTACATTAAGTACTATAATGATAACAATCAGAAGAAGTGGTGCTGTAGCTCAAGTGGTAGAGCGCTTGCCTTGAGCTGAAGAGCTGAGGGACAGCGCCCAGGTCCAGAGTTCAAGCCCCATGACCAAC